CCCCCCCCCCACCCCACTCCATCCTAGCACCCCACCTGCTGCACTCAGGTAAGTTGAAAGATGCAGCTGCAGAATCACTAATGCTGAAGCAAGAGTCAGTTTCTTGGACAGTTTCCGGAGATGATATTGGAGGTACCTTCTTGTCCTTCATCTCAAGAAGCAAAATCTCTTGGCCGGCCCTGAAGATGATAGACATATGAAACAGGCCCTGTCAAAGGGACAAAAGAGTAAACAACATTCAGATTGGAAACCATGCTTGAAGTGAAATGTTCAAAGAGCATGTTTCTTACCTAAGTTTTCAGCAGCTGTGAACGAGGGGAGGTGTAGGAAGGAGAGAGGTTGAACTGGGTTTCGCAGGGGTGGATCAGAGTTTGCCCTGGAAACTGTGACTCAAACCTTCTTCTGTGGGCACAGTTCAATTTACTCCCAGGAAGTTCTCTGAAATTGAAGCTGCAACTCGGTTAAGTTGGTGACTCAGAAGTGTGAAAATTCAAATTTTAGCACCAGGCAATCATAGGCACCCTTAAACCATTTTAAATGAACACTGATGGAAATGAAAAACTTTGCAAGTGCTCTAGGCTATGGTGTGCTTTAGGAAGCTAATTAAATGCCATGCATTCTGTTTTAATGTTAAAATAAAATAATGAAGGGGCCTGACTTCTTAAAGACTACTGTTTCTTTGACCCCTGTGGAGGTCAAATGATTTTGCAGCCACATCAGTTCTCTTCCTCCCCAAATTCTTAATGGTGACATTAATCTTTTCCAAGGTCAGGTCTGTCTTTTCCATGTACAGCAAAACCTCTGAGGGAAAGATCTCTTATGCCTGAGGGTGGCCACTAAATTTCATCAACAGTGGCATTTGCATTGAAATGTGATTTTATCAAAAGAGATTTTTTCCCTCCCCCAAATTGCAGGCTGCCTTGTGAACTGCACAATATTTTTGTCATATCTGCTTCATGTGAATTATTAAAGGTTTCAGTGCAAAAGCAACAAACAAGTGTATTCTCACCAAACCATCCCCCTGTCCCACTCAATATTTAAAAAAGCAAAATGAAAACCTTTTACACTGAACTGGGTTGGTTTATCTTATGTGATCCCCTGATATCATCTTTTTGTACAGATATATCTATATTTGTGGTAAGTCTGCAATTGATATCTGTTCCTTTCTGCAGTTAAGGAGCATGAGACCAAAGCCGTATTTCACAATCAAAGATAGTATTCACAATAACAAGTAATTACTATTTGCACATCTTTAATATACATTAAGATTGTAGTTAGCTAGAAAAAAACCTAAGTGTGATTTAGGTACTGCTAACCATTCCATTCCCTTTGAAATTCTTTCTTTTCTTCTACACAAAGAACAGGGCCTATGGTAGGATTCTACACTCACACCAGTGTTAATGGTTCTGCTGGGACAAGACTTTGGATGCCATTACGTCTTTGGATGGCCAGGATTTCTTCTCAATCACCCCAGTGTGCCAGACGCACAATAACAGGCTGAAGTTAAAGGAAGCCAGATTCCGGCTGGACATTGGGAAAAATTTCCTGAGTGTTAGAATAATATGGCAATGGGACCAATAATCTAGGAAGCTTGTGTGTTCTGCCATACTGGAGGCATTCAAGATGCAGCTGGACAGCAATCTGCGAGGGATGCTTTAACGTTGAGCCCTGGATGGAGCAGGGGGTTGGACTCAAGGGCCTTATAGGCCCCTCCAACTCTACTGTGTTTCTATGATTCTATGAGTGTTTGTATTGACAATGTACTTCTCTAAAGTTATGGAAATTACAGGACTGCAAGTAGAGGAGAGTTCATTTAGGTGCATTGCAACTTGTGGATGTCTATAGCAGTATAGGTGAGAACGTATTTATCAAAATGCTGTGCGCTACAATGCAAAGAGAACAAACCAGCCAATATTAAAGGAAATCAACCCTGACTGCTCTTTAGAAGGCCAGATACTGAAGATGAAACTCAAATACTTTGGCCACCTAATGAGAAGGAAGGACTCACTGGAGAAGTGCCTAATGCTGGGAACAACTGATGGCAAAAGAAGAAGGGGACGGAAGAGAATGAGGTGGCTAGATGGTGTCACTGAAGCCGTCAGTGTGAGCTTAGGTGGACTCCGGGGAATAGTGGAGGACAGGAAGGCCTGGAGGAATGTTGACCATGGAGTTGCGATGGGTTGGACACAACTTAATGACTAAACAACAACAACAATCCAATACATGTCTACTCTGAAGTAAGTCCCAATGAATTCAGTGAGAGCTACCCAAGTAAGTGTGTATACAATTGCAGCCATAAATAAGTCTCTCTGTATGGCTCACAATTCAGTTAATTCAAAGTATTTAAAACCAGGAGCAAACCAGATCTGTTGTCAAATGCATAATTGCATTTAATCTCATTCTCTCTCTCTCTCTCTCTCTCTCTCTCTCTCTCTCTCTCTCTCTCTCTTAGTATTTGGCTCTCCAGGAGTGAAAAAGTAATCTGCGATGGATAAATAAAGTCTTGAGGACGGAACAAATGTATGCAGGGAGAAACTACATAATTGGGTGTCTGGTGTGATGTTGCTTGAAGGTGGTGGGTACATTACCCATCACCCATATTACAGGAAACCTCTCCCCAGAACCGTAACCGTCTGAACTGGGCCAGTTACCAAATTCCTTCTATACTATTAGAGCAAAAGTGATTTGCAGGGCTGGACATCCAATTGTCAAAATAGATTTGGCCATTCAGCCAGTCGAATATTGTCAGATACTGGCCAGGTATCTTGTGGCAGCATCCATTCTACCAGTGAAAAAGGGGTTAGCCTTCCCCAGTGCTCTGTAACTCGGCATCTCACCCACAGCAGTATCTCCTGTGTTTACCCAGTTCCGCCTCGGATGAGAAGACGTGATGAAAGCCAGGAGAGCAATGCAATGCCAGGCAAGAGCGTGATGGTGCTCCTGGACCTGCAGTGCCCCTGTGGATGGCGCACCGCTGAGCTCTGGGCTGCCTCCTCCAGCTTGGCCTCTCCCTAGAACAGCCACAGAAAGAAAACCTGCTTCCATCCCCATGAGGGAAGTTTCTGTCGTTCTGCTTCTCCTCGAAGGGGGAAAATGGGGCAGAACGGAGTCAGTCAAAGGTCAGCAAGAGCTTCAGCCCCCTTGAGGAAATCCAGGAGTGGGGAGCGTTCCTGGGCTCTGCTCTCCCCATTACTCTGTCAGGTGGTTTCTTCCGGGCAGTCACCACTGGGAGTCTTCTGGAGTCTGCCGGCCCACAGCAAAGCCAGGACTCAGGAACTCAGGACTCGAAGTCTGGGCTCAAGAAGAGAAGGACCCTCCTCCTCCAGAACTAGGATCAGCCCCCAGAAGTTGGTCCTACCCCACGCTAGCTACTGTCTTCCACCATGTACATGCACATGTGGACCAGCTCATACAAATGTATAAAGGATCACCTTGATATTTCCATTGGGAGAGCCAGTGTGGTGTGGTGGTTAAGAGCATGGGACTGGGACTCAGGCAATCCGGGTTCAAGTCCCCGCTCGGCCATGGAGCCACCTGGGTGACTTTGGGCCAGTCACAGACTCTCAGCCCAACCTACCTCACAGGGTTGTTGTTGTGGGGATAAGATGGAGGAGGAAAATGATGAAAGCTGCCTTGAGCCCTTTGTAGGAAAAAGGCAGGATATTAAAAAAAAAAAAAGTACCAAGGTGGACTCTGTGGCTCAAAAGCAGCTTCGAATAACATCTGAAAAATGGATGATAATTTTCAACAGGATCATTTTGAAGGTGTCTTTACTTAGATGCTTACAACCTAGTGCTACGCATGTACAATGCCCAGATAAGCTTCTGCGGCTCACTTCAAAGTAACAGCCTGTGTTGGAATGCAGCCTTAATTCAGTACAGGACATCTTTAACAATTGCATCTGCCCAAAGCAAACCCTGAAAAGCACATTGCTGCTATGATCTGGGATGAAGGAAGCTAGAAGGGGGGACTCGGCGCATACTTGCTTCTTTTGAAGCTCTCCTCGAAGACCTTCTTCTGTTGCTCGTACACTGGGACTTTAGTAGCAAGGAAGACCACTTTTCCTCTCCGCCCAGCAGGCATGTTGTGGAGGTGATGGTCGCAGATCATAACAGACACAAAGGTCTTTCCAGAGCCTGTGAAGATGCATGCAGAAAAAAGGGCTGACTGAATGCATTTGCAGAACAAATTGATCACAGAATGAACTAAAATGCCTTTGCGTGTTCCTGCATCTTCTGCACTGTCTGCTTACAAGATGGATTTTTCTCCATGCACCAGCTGATGAACTGATCCTGTAGGAGAGTCAGAATTATGAGTGGAGAAGTCCCTAGTTCGTCCTTACCTTCTTTCATCTTTTAATTTAGACAATGTAAATTGCTTAGACATTTACAAGTATGCTAGTTAAAAATTCTACAAATGTAACATTTAAATCATATTAAGAATGGGATACCTACCCTCTTACCCAAGAGTACATCCCATTGAATTCAATGGAACTTAAGTCTCAATAAACATATATAGGATTGCACTATAACTGTTTTACCATCTTTTTCTGTAATATTGCAAGTCAAACACTTGTGCTTTGGGGCAAACAATTATAATGGGATACTTTTAAATTTTATACCACACATAAGTAAAATAACTGTGCTATATTATATCACTTTCTGGGGCATCAGTTTTGTATGCTAATTATCCTAGTTTGCAAGGATTTTTTCCCCAGAAGTTTTACAGTTCCAGATTTTCCAGAAAATCCAGATCATTGTTATAAACAACTAAGAAGTGCTAAACCACTTGTGATAATATTAATGATGATTTGTACTGTGTTGTATGTAAGGCAAAGACAGAAAACGTATTAAGCGTTACTGCCAAGAACTCTGTCAGCTATGAGCCCAGGCAGTCTTCCACTGAGTGGCATGATCTACCTGTTTTCCTGTAATATTTTGGCACAGAAAAGAGGCAAAGCAACCACATCATTTTACTGCCTGGAATGCATCTTAACATCAACAAAAGAAGCACCCGAGGAATCTCTATGCCCTAAAAGTTTTCCTCCTGCCCAAGATGGTTCTGATAACTGAAATTCACAAGCCCTCCTGCATCTGCAAGGAAAGCTGTGCCAGATGTAGTAAAATATTATGTGGAACACCCAAACTATGAAAAGGGAGAGCTGAGAGGGGCTAGGAGTGATCACTGCAGATGACAAAAGCTATTTGCTTTTAAGCAGCTGCCCTGTTTGCATCATTCATGGCCACAATGCCAAATCTGCCTCATCTCTGTCACACAAAACTGAGTCCTCCATTGGACTATCTCCTCTAACTGGCAGCAGATATCCGGGGTCCAAGGAATGCGGAGGAATCCGAGTCTGCTGTGCAAGATCTTTTTTTAGCATAGATGCCAGGAAATGAAATTAGGACACTGAGCATCTAATGCTCCAGATGGCCGATTCTCCCCAGAAAGGGACACCAGGTAAAAACCTCTTTATTTCCCCAGCATTTTAAAGCTTAAATAACTTTAATCTGGTTTTATTAATATTAATATCCTCAGTCGCATTTTATCTTGATCGTTTGTATTTATGGTTTATTTCTATTGTATTGTAAGCCAACCTGAGACAATTGGTTTGTATAGGACAGGATAAAATATTCTAAATTAAATAAATAAATAAGATTATCCGATAACCAAACTGTTTCGATCTCTGCCCTGGAAAGAACTGACAAATGTAATTTCTTGGTTTTCCCCTGGAATTTTTTCTTAGCAAAACTTCAAATAAACTGTAACACGACACATTTTCAAAAAGGCCACTTCTAAGTCTCATCATGATTCAGAAGCAAAATGCTCTTACCAGTAGGGGCACTAATGATGGTGTGTTTGCCATCGAGAGCCGGCTGGGCAAGTTCCTTCTGGTAGGATCTTGCTTCCTTTGGGACTTTAGTGGTTTGCCGAGAGACATCTGGAAATACAAGCAAGCCACAGCTGCTTTGATTGCCCACTTCCTAAATGTTACATTTTAAATCACTTACCAGCTACTGTAATTAGTGATATGGAAACACAGGAGGCTGCCTTTCCTGAATCAGACCGTTAGTTCATACAGTTCAAAACTGTCAACCCTGACTGACAGCACTAACCAGGGTATCCAGGTTGGGTCTTTTCTAGCACCAGCTAGAGAACCTGGGGACTGAACATGGGACAACATCTAAAATCTCCAGCGTGGAAAGAGTCTATGGGATATATGATGCACTTGTGCATTGATGAATGAAAAGATTTCCCCACATCCTGGCTTATGTGGGTGTTTCAATCACATGTTTAATCAGAGAGGGAGTTCTGGAGATTGCTTACACAGTTCCAAGCAAAAGAACACAAGTTCTTTTTATGGCAGACATACTACTATCTACAGAATTCAAAAGTTCAAAAGCTCAGGCTATTTAAGGTAAGACATCCCTGGGGCAGCATCCCCCTGCCTACTGCACTGTGTTGCCTGAGAAGAAATGATGATGATGATGATGATGATGATGATACACTTTTATACTGCCCCATAGCCCCTAGAGTATAATGTAAGCTGCAGTTCAATCAGCTGAAAGAACACTTCAGGAGAAAGCAGCCCCAGGATAAGGGAATGACTTCAAACCACTCAAGATGTAGCTATGAGAGCTGCTATTAGCAAAGGAACCGCATGTCATGAACACCCAAAGGCTTCCATCCTGTGCTCACTTACCGCAAAGCAAGCACTGCTGAATTTCAGTGGTACTTACTTGTTTGTAAACACGCACAGGATCAGACCGAGAGGCAAAGAAATCCACGAGAGCCGGCTGCCTTGAATTCTGCACAAATGCAGACAGCCTCCCTGCCCAACACAAGCACAGGCGTATTGCTCCCCGACAGCTCACTCGGGGTCGATTAAGATGCACTAGGCTAGAGCCAGACTCAGGCTATTTACAGAAGACCTGTGTGATTTGAATTGGCCATGCCTACCTAAAGTTCTACCGATTTCAGCAGGTCTGCTGCAAGCACGATTAAGTCTGCTTTTAACCCCATGCCTGATGATTTGTCCCATCTGTGTGTGTTCAGCCAGGTTTGTAGTTCTGCATGAAGGCCCAGAAACTGCAGCTCTGCTCCTCACCCAAAGGTACAGGAGGCCACATCCTTCCCCCCACCCCAATAGCCTCAGGTATCTACACCGGAAGGTCCTGGGTCTAGTGGCCCATCCTTCAGGCGTGAGAACATCCTCAATGCCCACAGACTGCTCTGTAAGGGCGATTAGAATCCAGGATGCTCATGCTAACACCATGTTCAGATCATCTTACTTGAAGGTGCAGATGGACTTCCACAGTCAGATTCTGCTTCTTCAGAATAGTGTAATTGTATGTCTACGATACAGCTGTCCTCATTGTCATCTGCCATTACAACGTCGTTGTCATTCTTGCTACCTGAATACAATACAAAGAAGCATTTAGTATTTGCATTGTAATTTTTTGGCACACCTGGGCAAAAACATTAGGAGAAAACATAAAAGGAAGAGTAGCACAAAATTTGATGCAGAATTTAGGCTTCCCAGTAATATTGCTAAGATTCTAGTCCTCATAATTATGCTAAAACAGTTGCTAAAGGCTCAGGGTAGCTGTATATGAGTGTTTTCATGCATATTATGCATGTCCAACACAAATATGTACAAGCTGACTATTTTTTAAAAATAATGTCTTTCCAAAAACATTTTCAAGATGACTAATATAAGAATGTAGTATAAAACCTATCAATACCAATGAAAAATATACATTAATCAATCAATAGAATAATCTCTATACTTTTGACTAGCTGGAGTTATCTGGGCTGTTTACAATATATAAAAATACTATATTAAAAACATTTAAAACATCATAAAAAGGTTATCATACAAAATTAAAAACCAATTTAAAAGCAAATAAAAATACAAATCTGTATGAATTGATCAACCAACCTGTTTAAGTAGCTTACACAGCCCCCAAACAACTATTTAAATGCCCTGGAATAGAGGACAGTCATAACCTGGTGCCAAAAAGTTGGCACCAGGCAGGGCCTCAGTGGGCAGGTCATCCATAACTGGGAGGCCACAAAAGAATAGCCTTTCTCCTCATTGCCACCAACTGAGCCTCCCTTGGAGGAGGTTTTTGGAGGCAGGCTCCAGGAGTTGAGTGTAGCATCCAGGTAGAATGTGGTCAGGATAGGAGCTCCGTCAAAGATTGTGATCCCAAACAATGCATGGCTTTATAGGTCAAAACCAGCCTCTTGAATCGGGCTCAGAAGCTTATAGGCAGCCACTGCAGGCAAGCCAGAATTGGGGTTCTATGATCTGAACATCCGGTCCCTGTTGTTAACCTGGCTGACACATTTAGCACAAGCGGCACCTTCTTAACTGTCTTCAAGGGCAGCCCCACACAGAGTGCACTGCAGTAGTCTAGCTGAGAGATTACTAGAGCGGGCTATCTGCATCCAAACAGGGATGTAGCAGACGCTGGCAGAAGGCACTCCCAGCCACCAACACCGGGGCATCGAGTTTCAAAGACAGCTGAAGGAGCACCCCCTGCTCCTTCCGGGGAAATCCATGGTGTATATTCTTGGGAATGAAGCATGAGCATTTCAAAAAGAAAGTATCACAACTAAATAATTCCTTCACATCATCCATTTCAATAACTGTGGAAGGCACTATTTAGCTTTTCAGCCTCAGCTGCCAAACCATCTGGCAACTTGCTAAGTAGCAGCCCAGCTTGGAAGAAAAAGTGACTGTGCAGAAAGAGGTCACTCAGTCGGCCGGACATTTCCAAACACTGAGCACCCCAGAACCCCTTTTATCCATGCTGAACATCCCTTCACTCCAAAGGGAGCAAGGGACTCCCTACACGTGTGGATGGGTGTCCGAGGGTGCCCAGTTGGCCCTTCGAGGTGCATGGGAGTCACTCAGCCAGGGCTTTACAGCCTTCCTCCTGTCGGAAGGAGTTCCAGACTTGTTCCTGTGCCATCTACGTTCAACACTTCCTATGCCAGCCTTCACCAACTCCAGGTAGGTTCAGCTACAATTCCTCTCGAAGATGGCAGCAGCGGCCCAACCACTTGGAGGGCACAGAGTCTCAGAAGGCATGCGTGTCTTCTTTAAACTCCCAAAGTAATGGAGCAGAATGTGAAGCAAAGGCGCAATTGTACCTTCTTTCATGTCCCACAATTCGCTTTCCTTGAGATAGTCAGCCTGATCCAGTGCCAGCTGAAAGGTTTTGGGCCAGTTTTCTTTATCTGTCCTGTACAGGCATTCTAAAAGTTTTGCTGCAGCTCCTGCTCTGCCATTGTTTATTTTAGCCTGCAAGTCAAACCACAGAACAAAATTATGAGCATGAGCAAAAGAGAGAACTGGACATTTTTCTAGTGAAATGCTAATGCTTGGAGGTTAGTTGTAAAACTTCAACTAAACTGATGGACTTCAACTAAAGGAAGCATACTGACTACAGGAGATGCTCTTTGTAAACAGGCCCATTATCTGTTTCGGTTTAAGTATGTTAATTCCTTTCTATTACAGAGCAATCGTAGCAATCCACCCTCGACGCACGTAGGCCTCTGTGCACCATTACACCTTGCCCCCTGCTTTTAATCTAGGCTGCCAGTTTTGGCCATCTTGATATAGCACAGGGAGGGAGGGAAGCAGGGACGCTGACAGGAACGCATATAAGTTCTGGACCCCCTTTTTTCTCTCCTGCCCCCTAGCCCACCCCTTTTTCTTCCCCCCATGGCACATTTGTGACCTTAGGGGAGGCAGCTGACCTGTTTCTTCCCATTAAGGCTGCGAGACAGCTGGGTTGGGGGTTCAACCTTTGGGTCCCAGCTCCAGGATCACAAGAATAAGCCCACAGCCTCCCCAGACAACACAGGAAGGCTGTCAGATTGTGCCCTGAATCTGCAAAACAATCTGCATTTCTCAGGTTTTGTTCACTCTTTGCTCTTGCTTCTCAATTGGCCTGAGAAAAAAATGTATTTTAAGCACTTGTGTCCACTACAGTCTTTCCCCACTCCTGTGCAGCCACAAGAAAAAAGGCAAGTTTGGATAATGTTTCAGATAAATAAGCTCCATATAGTAATTACTCGTTTTCTTGTTGAAAAATAAACCTGGAAGTTGACTCTTGGGATTTTAGCATGGTATGTGCAACCCTGTAAAGTTGAGCCTCCTTGGAAAGATCCAGAGCATAATTCTTTTTGCCCCCAAGAAACTGCCATGGAAGTACAAGGGGTTTTCTTGGGGCCAAACCTCAAAACAGGGTAAAGCCTAACATAGAAAAAGAGGAATAATGAGAGAGGTATCCTATGAGAGCAAGTTGGGGTTGGGACATTGCTGGGCAGGGTAGGCAAGGTATTTTGAAGGACAGGCAGCTCCGTAACACACACATCTGGGTATGCTGAAATTGCCAGGAACTGAAGGAAGCAGAAGGACATCTTCAAAAACAAGAGAATGCCTTTAAACATTTATATCATCAAAACTCTGCTCCTGTAATATACATTCTCTTAGATCTTCAAAGACAAAAATAATCCTTTAAATCTATATCTTCCTTCATTCACAAACTTTTAATGTAATTAGTTTGCTTACCTGCTCTATAACTGTGATATTAGTATGTCCGCGGAGCATCAGAGATCAGAAAAAAAATCAAGTTTCTGGGATTTTTATTTATTTATTTATTTAGAGTTCTGCTTTCTGAACATGTCTAATTACTGCTGAAAAGTGGGGAGGGAGCAAAACCTTGTTGGAACTGTGTTAGCCCAAGAGGTCCCAAGAGTTGGAAATTTTGGCTCACATCAAATTGAGAAACAATCAAGGGTAAAGGAAACTTCACAAGTAAGAAGATGAGAACTGAACTGCCAATTCTTCTGGTCCCTTGTTAGTGGCAGAGAAAGCAGCTAGTTTTATATCTGGGCAGAAGGGATAAGACAGTGAGCAAAAGAAAACAGTCATAAAGCAACTTAAAGTCTTCGGTTTAAACAGAAAACCGTGTTGAAGCTTGAGAAATCCAGAGAGAGGAAACCTTTTAAAGTTAATTTAAAATAGCTTTCAAAAATACAGTAAAAAAGACCCTCAGAGAATCACCTGGATAATCCATGAGTAACCAAGGAGATCTTTAAAGGGCCTGCATAAAGGGCTGTTTTGACCTGGTACCAAAAAGATGGTAAGTTTGGCACCAAGGTAGCTGCAACAGGGAGGTTGTTCCAAAGATGGGAGGCCACCAAAGAAAAGGCCTTTCCCCTTATTGCCACCTTTCAAGCCTCCCATGGGGTTGGCACATGGAGGAGGCCTCCAGAGGTTGAGCACAGTATCCAGGTAGATTGTAGTTGAAAGAGGTGCTCCAACAGGCCTTCTTGCCCCAAGCTGTGTAGGGCTTTATAGGTTAAAGCCACCGCCTTGGAAATTGTATAGGTTAAAATCAGCAGTTGCCCAGATCTGCCATTCTGAGTTGCCTTAAATAAAGAGAACTCTAGCAGCAGCATGTTATGGAGCCCTGCTTTGTAACTTCACCAATGCCAAATAGTGTCAAGGGGACCCAGCATCTCCAACATGATCTTGTGCTATGGTGATCAATGGCACTGATTCCCAGGAAAAATTCCCAGGGACATGCTATCCCTCTATAAGTACCTCAAAGGCTGTCACAAAGAGGAAGGTCAAGATCTCTTCTTGCTGATGCCAGAGTGGAGGTCATGGAATAATCAGTTCAAGTTGCAACAACCCAGATTCAGGCTGGACATCAGGAAAAGCTTCCTCACTGTCAGTGCACACGACAGTGGAACCAGCTGCCTAGGGAAGTTGTGGGCTCCCCCACACTAGAGAAATTCAAAAAGAAACTGGACAGCCCTCTGAGTGGGATGGTGCAATGTGGTGTCCTGCAACAGCAGGGGGCCGGACCAGATGGCCTTCATGGCCCCTTCCAGCTCTACTATTCTATGATTCTATTGCCTTGGTTAGTTATTAGTCACAGAATCAGAAGCATTAGAAATGACCTTGGAGGTCATGTAGTCCAACCCTTTCGCTCAATGCATGTACAGCATCCCTGAGAGATGGCCATCCTCCAGACTTTGCTTAAATACTTGGAAACAAGAAGTCCAAGATGCCATTCCCATTGCTGAACACCTGTTAGGAAGTTTCTGGCATACAAGGGACTTTCAGACGGGTGGCTGCCAGTGCTATCAATCAAAGGCACTGTGCAGCAATTCCGTCTTTTTATTTATTTACTTATTTATTTAAGGATTTATATCCTGCCTTTTTCCTACAAAGGGCTCAAGGCAGCTTACATCATCCTCCTCCTCCATCTTATCCCCACAACAACAACCCTGTGAGGTAGGTTGGGCTGAGAGCCTGTGACTGGCCCAGTCACCCAGTTGGCTCCATGGCTGAGCGGGGACTCGAACCCAGATCGCCCAAGTCCCAGTCCCGTGCTCTTAACCACCACACCACACTGGATCTCCTAAATGTGCCTAGGATTGCAGCTGCTATCTCTGTCCTGGAGACCCTGACTCTGAGTTAATGACAATGATGTCTGCTACAGGTAAAAAACGAGCCACTGCTGGCATGATTATTTAAAAAGAGAGAGAGAGAATAATGGTGAGTTGGTCCATATGTCCTCCCACCAAGAGCTTTGAATTCTGAAATAGTAATACCTGTTTTATTTCTTCCCATTCCTGTTGCCTGATGCAGTCTTTCATGTAGGGAAGTACATGGTCAGGATCAATATCCAACAAAGATGGCTTAATTTTTTTCAGAAACTTTCGGTAATTCTCCAGATTCTCAATTGTCTGGAAGTCCCAATTTTCAATTGCTTTACAAAGGCCAGAGTAACCTTTAGAAAGAAGATAGCAGAAATGTATAATATTGAATAAAATTTCCATTAAAAGTTATGGTTCAACCAGGCATGCTTTTTCCCTAAGTTAGTAGCAATGCAAATTAGACATGTAATTCCTGGTTGATCACTACAACTGGAAAATGAAGTTGTAGGAGTTTAAAGGAATCAGATCTTTTACTGCATTTGTACTGCATTTTTTACTGAATGGGGGAAAGAAGAGAAGAAATTTTGCCTGTAGGCTTGCAAAATGCTATCTATTTATATAAAGGATAGCTAATGGGTGAGGCCATTCTGGACAAAAGCAGACATTTCTTTAAATGACAGGCTTACTCTAGTGTAAGTGCAGCAGCCCAATAAGGATCAGCACCCTGATTGCTGGACAGGGCTATACGTCTTCTGCCCTGCACACACAAGAGATCTGAGGGATGTAGAAGTATTGCTGGTGTGTATCCTTATTAAATCTACTTACTTGGATGAACATAAATGCAGAACGAGGCACCTTTTCTTCTATAATTCGGTGGTTTAACTTGGATTATCAATCAGATCTGGCAGGACCTCTGGAAGAATGATATTTCCCCACATGAATCACCTTGCCCTCCCGCACAGCTTATGGCCCTGATCCAGACCAAAGCCCCTACTCCAACAGTAGAATAAAAACAAAGCAGGGAAAGATTAACTGCTCTTCTGTTCACAAAAAGCAAGCTGGAACTCTCTATCTCCTTCATAAAGGCCCTTTTCTGCAAGAGAGCAGGCAAACAGCCTGACATGGACTTCACAGCATGGAGGCAAATCTTTTACCACCCCCAAGGTCTGAAGAACGAGCTGCTCTTAAAGGCACAAGAGAAGTGGGCTACCCCAAGCAGCAAAGGTAAGCACATGCACTCGGAGGGGACAAGGTCACTCTCTTGAAGAGAGGACTAAAGAAGCAAGTGCTTCATGAGGGATGCCCTCCAGAGGCAGGTGGGCTGTGTTTTTCCAGGAGGCAAGTGACAGCCTAATGGAGACTGATTTATTTATTGAACACAATTCCTGTTGATCGTTGCTTCTTTGGATCAAAGTATGAGCCATTTTTAAAATTAAAGCTCAATGAACATTTGTTAAGGACGTGCAGGCACTAGCTACAGTAGAATGGAATGGGCTTCCAGGGGAGGTGGTTGAGGCCCCATCGGTGAGGGTGTTCAAGGATAGGCTGGACGTGCACATGGTGGGCATGTCAAGAGCAGAGTCGGCTGGAGCCGGGGGTCAGACTAGATGGCCTGGGAGGCCCCTTCTGACTCGCTCTGTTTCTATGTTTCTATGAATCAGAGCCCTCAGGCCTCAGGGTGACCATCCCTGGTCTACAGCAGCCTTTCTTAAATCAACTGATTCTGTTCCATTTATCTGAGCTATTTTCTTCTATGTAAGAAAGAAGAAACATTAAACTTAAACATTAAAAATGTGTCCAAGTATTCTGTGTAACTCCACAAGGCTGGGAGAAAAAGCACTTATTTTTGCAATGCTAAAACACACATATAGTTCATTTTTGCTGGAGAGTTTTAGTTACAGCAAGCACAAAGTGAATTGGAATGAAGGAAATGGGAAACACATAAAACTTTGTACTATGCTAGAAATATCTGTGTCAACATTTTAACTGGAAATACCAGGTAATGCAAACTGGGACATTTGTAGCCAAAGCATGGATTCTACCTCTTCTCTACAGCCTCTCCCCTGTGCTTCAAGAACATCTGGGTCACTAGATTAAATCACCACTGGAATATAAATTTGGCAGATTAAAGTCTCAAATACTTCCTCCAGTTCCTCCAGCGAGCTAAACTCTCATTTGCACAATCAATTGACACACTACCTCTATCTCATGCTGGAGGAAACACATGTAATGACTCAGACAGAAATACATCCAAAAGATGTTCTAAGGGTAGTAGTCACACTTTGAAATAACTTTGTAATGTGCAGGTGAGCGTAAGCACTGCGATTCAAGGGAGGCTGCTCTATAGACACCTGCCTGAATGCTGCCTCACTGTTGCCTGTTCACGCTGGCAGAGTGAAGGACCTCTCCGTTGATCACCTCACTGGAGGTGGTTACAACAGTTCAGCAACTTCTTGGCAGGCAGCAAGAGAAAGGACTGCCTGAAAAGGTTGGCTGCTCACCTGCCTGCTCACTTCTGCTAATGCTGACATTGCTTCCCCCTCCTCATAAGGTACCAAAGCAGGTCATATCTGCAGCCTCCTCCAGTCTCAGGCAAGTAGCCAAGGGGCACTTCTTTGTCCAATAGGAAACAGCAAGCAAATATTTCACTGCTGTGCTACTGTCACATGGATGATCTCAGAGTACACGCACAGCTTCGACCCATTTTTCATGTACATCAGTCTCGGTCTTCTGTGGGACAAAGGAAGCTGCTCCATTCCACAAAGATTAACACTGAGTTGGGCAACTCTTCCAAACACTTTGCTTGCCACTCCTAGCAAGGAGAGTTTCCCAGACTCAAAAGTCACTGCTTGTTTCTTCTCCCTGAAGCATTTCACATCTCTCCTTTCATGTCCAGCCTGTGACTGCTTTCCCTTCCGCAAACTAGAGTTGTCCTTACCCAACAGCTTCTGAGAAGTTATCAGAAGGAAAAGTGTTGGCCTTCTTGCAGAAGATGCTGGGAGAAGCCTATTTGTAGAACCTCGCTTCTAACAGAGTTTAATGTTGTTCTTACTTCATTGAAGAATTCAATTTTATAGCCACTTCTCATTGTCTCTTACTCTCAGGTGATTGGGTGCTACCCTCGGGCAAAGCTCATCACCGGTTTAGGAAAGCAGTGGCCCTTTGTCTGCTTTGAATCTCCAAGGAAGAAGGGCTAAACACTTTAACAAATACATCCTGCAGATGAAACAGATTTACTGACACAGCCAAAAAATATATTTGTAGCACACTCAAACCTGCAGCATGCAGCGCATCCAAAAATGCCCGGAACCAACTCTCTGATGTGAGCTCTAGAACGGATTTCAGAAGTAACTCTGCAGCAGCAGTAGGCGTCCCCTTAAGCTCTCGGATACACTCCACCGTTTCTAGAATGAAGTCAGACAGTTGAATAGTTATCGCAATAAAACTCTTATTTCTGGTAGAAAAAATGGAATTGGCAAGGCCCCTCAGTCCAGAAGCCTCTGAAGGACAAGCCGGCCAGTGCAAATGCACGAGTACCATCCTCTCCAAAGGCAAGCAAAGAACGAGAGCTACAAAAGGGTCCATGTGTCTCCAGGGGAAATCCTAGTAAGATTCCTTTTTGCAAAGTGGCTTACAGTAAACAAACACTAAACAAAACAATATCTAAAATATGAAAAAGTAAGAGAGCAAACCTTGGTGACAGTCAGAGTGGGTTAGGACATGGCATGGCTGCCTGCAGCTAACCTCTGCCGGCTCAGCAGTACCACTATCTCAGACCCGTGGATTGCTAGGATAAAGGGCCACCGCCAGAGGGGACCCGGTCTCAAATATGGAGCTAGCTCTGCTTCCTCTTCACACAGGGATAAAACCCTTGGCTTTCTGTGGCAAGCCTTACCTATTTTTCTCTGTACAGCTTTTCCAGAATCTGAGACTCATCAAAGTTCATAAACAGGGAGCTTTGAAGGCTGCCCACCTTCGTGTACATTCAAACTTTGACACCGATTTGAACATGCAAAACATAACCCTTTTCCACTCACCACCTCCATGCATTCCACTCAGCAGTGCACCACAACACAGGGTTCAGACGACATGGTAACCCACTATGGCCTATACAGCACAGTGGGTTTATGTGCCGTGTAAACCCAGTTGCCCATTGCCTTAGGGTTTAATAGATGCCTCGTGGGTTGACCCATCATCTGGGTTTGGACAGCATACTAAGCCACGGCCAAGCCCCAGAGTAAGAGTATCTTGGCCAAAGAGGCAAAAAAGGGGTGCTGCTCTAGCCGATAACAGCTAGCAAAGCTCAGCAGTCACCCGTTTCCCCCAGGCTCCCGTTAACGCGCGAGGGAGAGCAGGACTGCTCACAAGTGGCGGCCAGATGTGGCCCCTGGGTACTGCAGAGCTGACCCACGCCCTTCGCTTCCTCATCGGCTATGGCACTGATCGGGGCCCGACAAAGCAGAGTGTGGTGGAGCGCCCCATACACCTCCGGTTTGGGAAGAGGGCCACACGGAGGAGGAAGAGGAGCCCCTGTGGAGAAGGAGTGGCAGCAGGCGTGGACCAGACGGAGCCCGCACCCTCTCGCAAGTTCTGACCGGACGTGAAAAGGTGATGTGGGCAGTCACCACCACCAAGGAGGAGACACGTGGAGCAAGCACTGGGGAAGGGGACCCTCCCACCCTGTTTCACCCTTTCCCTGTGGGAAAGAAGGGGGAATGGGTTTGGGGGTGCCCCACAGCAGGCCAGCAGGTTGCTTTCCCAGTCCAGCACAAGACGGCCCTTCCCATTCTTGTGCCCCCCACACTTCAGCTTCCCCACCCAGCTCTCCCGCTGAGGTAGGCTGCCATCATCCTGCTCTCCCCAGGGCTCCTGCAGCATCCCCTAGGATAGCGCTGAAGGACCGAGGGGGAAGGAGGGACACAGCGGGGTTGTCCAGAAGGCATAGAGTAATACTCCAAGCGGCATGTAAATTCCCAAGGAAGTTAACTTTCAGTGAAAACCCTCCCCTTATGATGGTTAACAGGGATGGGTGCCAAGATCAAAGAAGTCCCAAGACCGCTGAAGCAAGCCATTTCTGCTCCTGTTCCACAATCAAGGGGGAAAAGAATCATAACTTGCTCCCCAAGAAGGCAAACAAAATTCTGTTTGCTGGTACCCCTAAACATGGTCTCTTCCTGGTCCATCCTTGTAGCTCTAACCCTTCCCCTGAGGGGGGGACTGCCCCCCCACCCCTTAGCCAAACCCCTCTTGGTTCCAGCCTCCATCCATTGCCATGCTGTCTATGCAAACTAGCCCAGGAAGTTCCCCCCTAGTGACTGAAGATGTTACTGCAGGGTTCAGTCACACCACTGCATTTACGGGTGCAAACTTCTGAGCATGTTTGGAGAGAAGGAAAAGTCCTACAATATCAAGCTGGGGACATGTTGGGAGTTGCAGGTCTTTGTTCTTGTCTTAAAATATATAGGATTGTGCCCTCAGTGTATTCAAATGAATGAAGGCATTTAAAAACTAACCTTGGGCATGCATGTTCTTTGTTTTAGTACATGCCATTGATGCACAAATCAATAGGTTTAATTTTCATTGGCTAAATCATGCAACCAGTAACACATCATCAGGCCTGAGTAAAACACTCTTTTCTAGAAATCAGCACGTGTGCATGTTTGAAATGTAGCTGACACTGACCAGGCACCATTCCAGGGAAAGACTGTTGGCACCTGACAGGTAACACCAGCCCACCCCATCCTCCTCCCCTCCTTCGGAGCATCCTCTTTGGTATGCAAGTGGGAAAGTTCACGCCATTGCAACTTTTTACTTCTGCAACCTATTGGAAAGTGTTAACTGTGATACATGTAACCTTCTAATGATCACTGTATAAAAGCGTAGCCCGCTATTCTCGAGAATTTCTGTTGTGTATCTTGGGCATATGCACATCAGGACACGGGCCCTTTTGGTCAACAGAATCTTTTGCATACGGCCGAGCTGTTAATCTGATATAACAAGTGGGAAGAGGTCGATTGTTGTTGTTAGTTGCGAAGTCGTGTCCGACCCATCGCGACCCCATGGACCACATTCCTCCAGGCCCTCCTGTCCCCCACCATCCCCCGGAGTCCACTCAAGCTCACACCAACTGCTTCAGTGACTCCATCCAGCCACCTCATCCTCTGCCGTCCCCTTCTTCTTTTGCCATCTATTGTGCCCAACATTAGGCTCTTCTCCAGGGAGTCCTTCCTTCTCATTAGGTGGCCAAAGTATTTGAGCTTCATCTTCAGTATCTGGCCTTCTAAAGAGCAGTGAGGGTTGATCTCCTCTAGGACTGACCGGTTTGTTTGTTTATTTATTTATTTATTTATTTATTTAGAAAATTTCTAGGCCGCCCCATTCGCCGAAGCCTGGGGGCGGCTTACAAATAAATGAATTAAAATACATAATTTAATCACTTTGATTGCTTTGCAGTCCAAGGGACTTGCAGGAGTCTTCTCCAGCACCACAATTCAAAAGCCTCCATTCTTCGGCACTCAGCCTTCCTTATGGTCCAGCTTTCACAGCCATACATTGCAACTGGGAAAACCATAGCCTTGACTATACGCACTTTTTTTGGCAGGGTGATGTCTCTGCTTTTTAGTATGCTGCCTAGATTTGCCATAGCTCTCCTCCCAAGGAGCAAGCGTCTTCTAATTTCTTGGCTGCAGTCCCTGTCTGCGGTGATCTTGGAGCCCAGGAAAATAAAATCTGTCACTACCTCCATTTCTTCCCCATCTATTTGCCAGGAAGTGAGAGGACTGGATGCCATGATCTTAGTTTTCTTAATGTTGAGTTTCAAGCCAACTTTTGCACTCTCCTCCTTCACCCGCATCAAGAGGCTCTTTAGTTCCTCTTCACTTCCTGCCATGAGAGTGGTATCATCTGCATATCTGAGGTTGTTGATATTTCTCCCAGCAATCTTAATTCCAACTGGTGATTCATCTAGCTCCGCCTTTCTCATGATGTATTCTGCATATAGGTTAAATAGACAGGGCAACAGTATACAGCCTTGCCAAACTCCTTTCTCAATTTTGAACCAATCAGTGGTTCCGTGTCCAGTTCTCACTGTTGCTTCTTGACCTGCATATAGGTTTCCCAAGAGACAAATAAGATGGTCTGGTACTCCCATCTCTTTAAGAACTTGCCACCATTTGTTGTGATCCACACAATCAAAGGCTTTAGCATAGTCAATGAAGCAGAAGTAGATGTTTTTCTGGAACTCCCTAGCTTTCTCCATGATCCAGCGTATGTCGGCAATTTGATCTCTAGATCCTCTCTCCCTCTTCGAAATCCTGCCTGTACTTCTGGTAGTTCTCAGTCCACATACTGCTGGGGCCTAGCTCATAGGATTTTGAGCATAACTTTGCTAGCATGTGAAATGAGTGCAATGGTGCGGTAGTTTGAACATTCTTTGGCATTGCCCTTCTTTGGGATGGGAATGTAAACTGACCTTTTCCAATCCTGTGGCCACTGCTGAGTTTTCCAAATTTCCTGGCATATTGAGTGTAGCACTTTAACTGCATCGTCTTTTAGGATTTTGAATAGCTCAGCTGGAATACTGTCACCTCCACTAGTTTGGTTGTTGCTCAGACTTCCTAAGGCCCATTTGACTTCACATTCCAGGATGTCTGGCTCGAGGTCAGTGACCACCCATCGTGGTTATCAGGGACATTAAGCTCTTTCTTGTATGGTTCTTCTGTGTAATCTTGCCACCTCTTCTGAATCTCTTCTGCCTCTGTTAGATCCCTGCCATTTTGGTCCTTTATCATGCCCATCTTTGCATGAAATGTTCCCTTCATATCTCCAATTTTCTTGAAGAGATCTCTGGTCCTCCCTGTTCTATTGTTTTCTTCTATTTCTTTGCACTGTTCATTTAAGAAGGCATTCTTATCTTGTCTAGCTATTCTCTGGAATTCTGCATTCAATTGTTTGTATCTTTCTCTTTCTCCCTTGCCTTTTGCTTCCCTTCTTTCCTCAGCTATTTGTAAAGCTTCCTCAGACAGCCATTTTGCTTTCTTGCATTTCTTTTTCTTTGGGATGGTTTTAGTTGCTGCCTCTTGTACAATGTTGCGAACCTCCGTCCATAGTTCTTCAGGCACTCTGTCTATCAGATCTAATTCCTTAAATCTGTTTGTCACCTCTACTGTATATTCATCAGGGATATGATTTAGGTCATACCTGAGTGGCCTAGTGCTTTTCCCTACTTACTTCAACTTAAGCCTAAATTTTGCAACCAGAAGCTCATGATCTGAGCCACAGTCAGCTCCTGGTCTTGTTTTTACTGACTGTATAGAGCTTCTCCATCTTTGTCTGCAGAGCACATAGTCAATCTGATTTCTGTGTTGACCGTCTGGTGATGTCCATGTGTAGAGTCGTCTCTTGGGTTGTTGGAACAGAGTGTTTGCTATGACCATCGTATTCTCTTGACAAAATTGTACCAGCCTATGCCCTGCTTCACTTTGTACTCCAAGGCCAATCTTGCCTGTTATTCTGGTTATCTTTTGGCTTCCTAGTTTAGCATTCCAGTCCCCCATGATGATAAGGACATCATTTTTTGGTGTTAATTCTAGAAGGTGTTGTAGGTCTTCATAGAACTGGTCAACTTCAGCCTCTTCAGCACCAGTGGTTGGGGCATAGACTTGGACTATTGTGAGGTTGAATGGTTTGCCTTGGATTCGAACTGAGATCATTCTGTCATATAATAATAATAATAATTTTGGAGATTGTATCCCAGTTCTGCTTTTCCTACTCTTTTATTGACTATGAAGGCCATTCCATTTCTTCTGAGGGATTCTTGCCCGCAGTAGTATACCTGATGGTCATCTGAATTAAATTCACCCATTCCTGTCCATTTAGTTCACTGATTCCTAAGATGTCAATGTTCAGTCTTGTCATCTCTTGTTTGACCACATCCAGCTTGCCTTGATTCATGGATCTTACATTCCAGTTTCCTATGGAGTATAGATCTTTGCAGCATCGGACTTTCCTTTCACCACCAGATACATCTGCAACTGAGTGTCCTTTCGGCTTTGACCCAGTCACTTCATTCTTTCTGGCGCTACTAGTACTAGCCCTCTGCTCTTCCCCAGTAGCATATTGGACACCTTCCGACCTAAGGGGCTCATCTTCCGGTGTCGTATCTTTTTGCCTTTTGGTACTGTCCATGGGGTTTTCATGACAAAGATACTGGAGTGGGTTGCCATTTCCTTCTCCAGTGGATCACGTTTGGTCAGCGCTCTCTGCTATGACCTGTCCGTCTTGGGTGGCCCTGCACGGCACAGCTCATAGCTTCATTGAGCTGCGCAAGCCCCTTCGCCACGACAAGGCAGTGATCCATGAAGAAGAAGAGGTCGATAGACGCCTGCAATTAAAGTTCACCCTGCGAATGAACTTCGAGGGCTCTGGGGCGGGGGGCGGGGGCAGAGGCGGCGGGAAAGGAGCAAGCAGCCAGCTGAATTGCCGGCCGGCGGTCCTTAGAAGAATCGTTTTAGAAAAGCCCGCGCCTGGGACAAGGCTGTCTTCACCGGGAAGCGCTCGATTTTCCCCACCCCTCTCCCATCGCTCCTCCCGCAGCCACACACTTCCTCATCTCTGTCCAGCCAGGAAGGGGCGCCAAGAGTCAGGCGGAGCTACCGGGACGGGAAAGGAGGAGCAGGAGGAGCTGGGCGGGCTGGAGCCGGTCGCACGGCCGTCCGATCCCCGCCTTCATTCGCCAGGCTCCGGGGAAAGGCAGGGAATCCGCGTCTTGCTTCCGCGCAGCCGTGCCAAGCCAGAGCCCTGCTCCCTCCGGCGGGACCTTGACAAACCCCGGATCCAGGGGGCTTGGCCTCTCCAACTCTGGCGAGCAGGCGAGCGAGCGAGCAAACAAGCGCTTCGATGCCAGCGGAAGAACAGAAAAGCCACCGGAGCCTAGGCAAGCGCCTAAACTTTCGCTTGCAGAAGGGTTGGGAGTAGCACTAGCAGCATTTCAATCTCTCTCCACGAGGAGCGAAGCAGGCGTTCCATACCGAGAAGCTGCCAGGGATGCCCATCAGTATCTCGTGTGTGCGTGTGAGAGAGAGAGAGATGAAAGCTGCCACCAACTAAACGGCGGGAGTCTTTCGTTTCCATGGCAAGGAGGAACACTGTTCGATCCCTTATTTCCCGACTACGGAGGCTGCGACTACCTGGGGAAAGAGCCCCACTGAATACAGTGGGCCGTTCCCCCCCCCCCTCCGCCTTTTCACTACCCCATTTGCACGACAGAGTGCTGTAATGTTGCAATGCTTACAACAACCAAAGAATATTCATTTTAATTCAGAAAACTCATCACTGTTGTTTTTTTTTAATGACCCCCTTTTCTTGCGGGGGGTGGTGACGTAAACCAGGAGTTAAACTAATCCATGCCTCTGCACTCACAATGGCTGCAAGCATCCGGAGCAGGAAGACATGGAGGGCTATTGTGGTGTACAGGCATCCCTCCTCCCCGACTGCCAAACGTTATCGCTGTTCGCTCCCCGATGCTACCGAGTAACTGCTATCAGAAGAGGCAGAGCAGTCGAAAGCAGACTTGCCAGGAAACGCTCCGCTCTTCAACTCACCATCGCTGAGCAAGTCCTCTATGTAGCACAAGACATAAGTGGGATTCAGGGTCGTCACGATATAATTTCGGCAGCGACGCAGGTTCTCCTTCTGCTCCGCAGTCATCTCGGCTCTCTCGGCGAGCCCCCTGCCTTTTTGCACGACTGCAGGATCCCCTCGCAGCAAGCGAGCTGGCTGGGCGGAGGAGCCCGCGCGCCCACTTGCCGGGGCTGCCCTCCAGCGCGTCCCACGCCCCCGCCCTCCGGCTGCGAGCGGTCTCGATTTCCCCGGTGTCAGCTGAGCAGGAAACGAAACTGAAGCGCTCGTGAGCGAAAGCTGGCGCCCCTGCAGGGAAGCAGCGGTGTCGCGAGGGGAGAAAAGCAACGTCCGCCTGGAAGTGAAACTGCAGCGAGATGCGCTTTTGCAGGCTTCTTGGCTTGGCCGTGGCAGGGAGCCAAGCCCTACCCCCCCACCCCCCCCGTCAGCCTGTTGACCCGCCCTTCAACACACGCCCACCCAGTAGAGGTGATCGTGTTGATCTGCATTAGGGTAAGTGCTTTTTCTAAACCGATGCAAAGCTCACAAAACAGCCGGCAAGCTTTCGAGATCTCCAGGATTATTCTTCCGGCTAGGTGCAAAATGTGGGAGGACGCAGACACGCCGTTTTTAGGCTCTGCCTGTACCAGGTGCTGTGATAGACTCTTCCCTGGATTGTTAGGATTTTTAAGAAAGATGCTTGGCCCCATCTGTCTTGAAAATTTAAAACCTAGTTATGTGAACAAAGTATTTCTGTATGAGCCACTGTGGGAGTACTTCTGCTCTTGAAATGGGCATACAAGTTGCAAAAAGCAAATAGATGTGCTAGAACCAGGACTGGGAGCAAAGATGAGCATGGTGGGACACTAGCCAAAAACACTTGCCCCAGGAGGTACCCACCAGCAAGCAGCCTCATTGCCACCTGCTTCTTCAGCTGTCTCTTGCTCCAGCCCTGATAATGGGGGACAGAGGAGGAGCAGGATATCCCCTGGCCTCATGCACCTGTCAAACGAGCAGTAGCGATGATGAGAAAGGCGATGAGGAGCAAGGAGGAGATGGACTCGCTGAGGGAGGGGGCCTGTGAAGGACACCTTGTTCAAGGGCCTTCCAGAACCTGGAGATGTCCGGAATGCAGCCACTCTTCATTTCAGTGGCTGCCTGAACAGAGCCTGAAGTGTATGCACTAGACTAGAGGGAAGGGGCTTCCTTCATACTTTCCATTATATCCCTCCCCACTTTGCTTTTGCCCTTAGCACACAGGGTAGATTTAGCTAAAACGGGTGCGGGGCATGACTTGTGCGGAGTGGACTGGCGAATTTCATTGAAGGCTCCCTGCTTTGCCTTGGATAACCAATTATGGAAGCATGCAGAAACTCTTCATCTCGTCCTGTACATTGGTGGGCCCTGCTTGTGCTCCCTAAAATAATAAATAAAATTCTTTTAATAAAAAGAAACTAGTTCCACGAGTGCTTCTTAGTTTTTTGTTTGTCGCGAAGTCGTGCCCGACCCATCATGACTGCTTCTAGATTTTTTTTTACTGCGAAACCATGCAGCTTCTTCGCAGAATGCAGTGCGGTCCATGCCGCTGCCTTCAATTTGTAGCTGATTTCAATTTGTTTTCCTATGGCTTCTCACCAGAGAAAAAAGAAATGTTGAGGGGCAAAAGACTGAATAGGTACACACTGCTTTTTGATTAGGAGCCCTCTGTCTGGAAACCCCCCATAAATTCACAATGATTTCACATAATTTTGAAAATACATGGCTGGTATCCAAACAAAAATCCCATGACTGATTCCATGTTCCCAAAAGTGGGAAGCGCTGGGCTATTTTCCGTCAAACAATGGCAAAGACAAAGGTGGGGGGAACAGCTCCTCTTTGACTTCCTGAAATGCAAGCACTGGTTCATTCCTGGCAAATTGTGAGGTGTTCATAGCATAAGGATCGGATATTAAGACAGAGCACTTGTGTATCGTCCTAAATTCTTTAAAGAGCAACACACTCATTCATAGCCTGATGGAGTCACTGTACCCATATTGTCTAAGACCAGCTTACAACACAACACCTACACATTTACCCAGAAATCAAGCAGTGAAGGGAGGCTGGCCTGAGTTAATGGTTGACGTGAGTTTTGCACACACAGCACAACCAAGCTCTCCTGGTTAAAGAGCAAGACATTTCCTGTATTTCAAGTTCATTCTGGATTACTGGCATTCCCCCTTCCTTGCTCCAACTTCCTGCTCAAGAAATGAAAACTGAACAACTTCCAGTTATTTGAGTGTAGTTTTATACCAAACCTGGGGTGCTCCATGTTCTGGATTCCAGCCACTCCATTCCATTTCCTCTCCCTCCCAGTTTTCAGAATCTGACCTTCCTTCCCACATGGCAGTTAAGAGACAGCAGTTTACCTAACAGTCCCCAATGTTCTCTTTAACTGCTCTTGCTTCCCTCATTCCTACATTAAACACACTTTCACAAATTGAGGTCCAAGGTGCTAAGTTACATGCCAATATTAGTTTGGGGTGACTTGTTTTTAGAGCAGACATTAAACAGACAAGCCTGATTTATGCAATTGCTTCACTGTGGTGCAATATAGCATCCTTCCTTAACTCAGCACTTTTCCCTGAGCATTGCTCCTGCTACTTAGGGCTGATGGGAGCTGTGGTTCAAAATTGCAGAATGGCAGCATATTGCAGAATGCTGCAATACATTACATACCATTCGTTCCACAGCACTAATTAATGGGTAACTCGAACATCAGAGCATGAGTAAGCCAAATGTTCACCTTAGTATGTATGTATTTTGAGCTTTCTATGCATATAAAACACTTTAAGAAACACTTCCATATACACTAAAGCATCTTAAACACAATATAGAACCATGAGCCCCCCACGTTGACAGGGGCTTGGGGCATAGGACCCCTGCAAAAGTGGCACACACACAAATATCTCTACCTGACCCCCAACCTTAATACTGTTGACCATACGTACACTGAAGTACTCCTCCCTCTCTCTCAGATTTTGGTCTGATCCAGCAGGCCACCCCTTCTTCATTTATTTCTTTATTATGTTCCGATTCCTCCCTTTTACTCGCTAGTGCCTCTTCTCTGCACCAAGAAAATGCCAGAGGAATTTCCCTCTCCAGATGGCAGGGCAAGAAGGCATACTTTGGAGAGCCCCCTAGCTGCCCTTTCACTTCCTCTCTCTCTATGGGGATACTTTGGAGGCCCTCCCTGTCTCCCCTTTTGCTTTCCCTCTCTCTATGGTGATGATTTTCCATAGTAGGTCTTTAACTTGAATTTTTAAATCAATAGGCTTCATGGCATTCTATTCACAAGTACAGGTTGTTCATAATTCGGATGGTTATAACCCGAGGACTGTCAAATCAAGAAAATGGTAAAATTAAGCAAATTAATTTATTGAGATCTGAACATTTTTCCTTTTCACAAATAAAAAAGCAACCATCAAAATTTTCTAATATTACATTTTTTAAAAAGAACAATGAAGTATTAGGAAGCTATATTACAGAGGGAAAATACAGTATGAAAATGACATTGGAAGCATTTAACATAAACTCTTAAGGAAATGGTACAGAAAAACAACATTTGGCTTTCTTAGACTTAAGTACAAAAAATGATAAGACATACTTAACAGAGAGGTAACTTAATAACTCTTAGCACAGAAATCACACAGTTTGTTGCTTTCAAAATTCAAATAGGGAAGAGCTTTTAAAACTTTTTTTAAAAGTTAAACATTCTGCTCTGGCGAGTCCAGTGGATGTGAAACTTTTCTAAGCATCTGTGACAGTCTTACGAACAATGTGGTTCTGACAGCTGGCAATTGGCTGAAAGACTGAATTTCAACAGCACTAGCCTGATTCACTATGTTAAATGAAGTTCCGTCCGTTACAGTCAGTGCATGTCTATTAGCTGTTCCTTGCAGTGGTACAAGTGCATTTGAAGTCTCTCCCACAACCTCTTTCCTAGCAGTGGTCATGCTGCTGTCTTTGTCCACATTTTCGCTTTCACCAGCTCCATAACTAGAGTCTCTGGCTTCCACCAGTGGTGAGAGAGATTCTGTCTCTTTCTCATTGGGCTGAAGTGTAGGACTCCAGGAAAAGTTACTGTTGCAGTCAGTATTATCCTGGATTCCTGTGTCTTTATCACTGTCGCTATTGATTGTAATTACAACTGGAGAAGAAAATGGTGAGTGGCTCACATGGCTTTTGCGGGATTTCTTCTCTCTCTTTCTTTTCTTTTTGTGATGCCTTGTCGTGTCTGTGGCTTGCCCTTCATAAATAATTTCCACACTTGGGCTTCTTGACCGTTTTTTCCGCTTCTTGTGTCGAATTTCTAACTCTGGTTGGCTGTCCAGGCTTGTGGCCTTTTTGTGAAAGCCCTGGTACTTGACCAACGCAGTTTCAAGGGCACTGCGTTCCTTTGCAGAGGAAGCCTCTTCACTCCCTCTGTGTGCGCTTTCCAAGTGACGGGTTTTATATTTCCGCTTCCCACTGGGCTTTTCAGATCGTATGCGATCCAGCCCCCGGGCAGGAGTCTGAGATCTGCTGCTCGATCGACTTCTAGACCGATGTCTTTCATAATAATACCACCTGTTTTCACTATGACCTCTTAGACTTCGACTACGGTGTGTCCTTTCAGAAAAGGACTGCATTTCGTAATCTGGACTAGCATTTTCCCTCGAATACTGAGCCCTCGCCTGCATCCGCCTCCTGTATGATGATTCATAACCATCTTGGGTGGTATTACAGCTGTAAAAAGTGTATTCACATTTATACTTGCTTTCGTAACTGTCTTTTAAGTAATAATCATCATCTCTGCTCTTTGACGTTCTGATGTACTCATTGCTGCGGGATCTTGACCTGCTCATTTCTCTAGAACCAGCACTCTCACTACTAAGAGAGAGAGCCTGGCTTTTTCGAGACAGGCTCTTGTCTCGGGTTCTTGACCTCTTTTTGTCCTTCCGGTGCTTATGGCGGCTGCCATCTCTCTTCCTTTTCTTTTTTTCCATGCTGCGATGCTTCCTTTTACTTTTCTGGCCATGGCGCTCTCGATGAGAACGCTGTGCAGAAGATTCAGTTTTCCTTCGTTTGGGTAAACTGCAACCATCATCAACTTGTCCTGTAGATGGGCTTTGTAACCAAGTAGCAGACTCCCTTGACTTACTTCTCTCTTTTTCACTCCTCTTAGATTTTCGTTTTTTACTCGATGGGGAGACATTGGTCTTGTTACTGGCACTACCATCTCTGGAACCAATGGAGAACGGTGATGCGTACCCACTAGCATCAGTATCACTAAAACTGTGATACTGTATGGGCTGCACTTGCTTCACTTCTTCAGTTTTTCTGGCCTCACCTGATTCTGCAGAGTCCGAAGACAGCTGAACAAGTTCAGGTGTTCGTTCTGCTAGTGGTTTCACATAGCCAACAATAACACAGTTGTCAGAGGAATCACAACTATCCCCATTCATGTCTACATTAGCTGGTAACTGCGCCTGCACCACTGCTGCATTTGAAGAAGGTTCTCCATCAGAACTTTCTGAAGTATCTAACGCAGTTGTTAAGCTAGCACGTACCTGCTCTGAGCTAGAGTAAGATGGCCCAGGTGTTTCATCATCCCAAGGTGCTTGGCTAGTGCCACTTGTGAAGGCACTATAACTGGGTTCGTCACTATCTGGAGAGATTGTAATAATGGAGGACTCTGAACGGCTTCCTTCTTCATATGATGGAGCAGGGCAGTCATAGTTGGCATGCTGATCATATGCATCTATATTAAAAGGGCATCTAGCAAAGCTGATAAACTCATGTAAGAACTGCTCTGTGCGATGGAGTAAGAAAGGTTTTAAGTCGTCAGAAAATGCCTGGCTCTCCATATCATACCTAGTCACATTACTCATGATGATATGTTGCACAATGTTGACTAGAGATCCATGAGCACCAAAAAGGACTGTGAGCTCACGCTTTAGCCATGGAACTAGTCTATGAAGACAGGCAGGATTTCTGCGGAAAAATTCAGCTGATATATCTCTATAGCGCCCTCCATCTTCAATGCTTCTTACACGCGTACCAGACCGATACAGAGCTCTTCGAAAACTTATTATTTCTGCTTCTTGTATCTGTCTCATAGTTCTGCCCTCTAAACTAGCTTGCCTCCTTGATGCAAGTCGTCTGATCATTTGATGCATTTCTGCTTCTCTTTGTTGTGTTGTCTGACCTGACAATCCTTCAAATAGGATTCCATTATCTGGAGGAGACACTGTCCTTTGAGAGGCAGAATTTCTTTGGGAATAAACAGGAGCACGGCGTTGTCTTGTCAATGTAGTCCGGTAACGGAATCGCCTCCCATTAGGGTTAGCGAATGATTCAGTTTCTGAAGGCCTTACGGTGTATACCTTAAAGTCATCTTCAGATCTCATACTGTGTAGGATGGAGTGAAAAGGCTGTTTACAGAGTGGACACTCTGCTTTGTTTTTGGACCATTCCTGGACACACCGGAAACAAAATCTATGCCAACAACGGTCCAAGAAGGCTACATTTTCAAATGTGTCCAGGCAGATTGGACATTTGGAATCTGGAGATGTATCTACTGCCATTGCCTGATTCAGTTCATTTGCGTCAGGCCTGGGTGAAAAGTTGTCGTCTCGGAAGTTGTCCATCACTGATGCTAGGTTCTGAAAATAAAAAAGAGAAGCAATCATAAATGTACTTTTGACTTAATTCCTGTGGATCAAAAGTACTGCTGAATTACCTCTTCCTTAGAAACAAAAATGGATTTATAAAAAATCAACCTATTTTCATGTCAAATTAATGCACCTTCTCCAGGCTTACGTCACACATTCCTTCTTGCAGTGACATCTTCCCTACTCTTGAAAAAAGAGATAATAGAATATTATACACATGAAAGACCAAGGAAGTTAAACAGGACCAAATCATTAGGACTAATCATACTCATTTAGCCATTAGTTCTACTGGAACAAATGAAACATGTTTGGGACTGAGGTGTGATAACCGTTTGGGACTGGAGTAGCTAGGAAGTATTACAGGGATGAATGTACACCTGAGAGGGGAAAGAGGGACAACCCACCTCAAAACCTCAAAGGGCCAATCAGAAAGATCTCGAACTGAGGTCAACAGAGAACAATGCAGTACAGAAGGGGATTTTGCTTGCACATGGGATGCATGGCAAGAGTGGGAGGATGAAGAATGGAAGCACTTTCAGAGAAACCACAGGATCATCTAAATGACAGGTCCAGACGAAAATCCATGAGCGGTGGAAACCATGCAGAGTGGTCGCTGTAATGCAACAACCCCTTCCTTGTCTTCAACTCAGTGGGATTTACTTCTGAGTAAACCTGTGTAAGATGAAACTTAAAGTATCCTTTGGAATTTTAGCAAAGCAAGCAAAAATATGCTTTAGAAACATAGAAACAGAGCGAGTCAGAAGGAGCCTCCCAGGCCATCTAGTCTGAACCCCGGTTCCAGCCAGCTCTGCTCATGACATGCTTTGATTTGTCTGTGTCCATCAACATGACAGATAGTCTCTTTGCAGACACTCTATTTCTCAAATAATATTCATTTGTTATGCAGGGCCTACAAACCTTTCCTCCCAAGGCAGCACTTCAGTTGCCACTGTTGGGACACTGAGATCTTCCCCAATCAAACATATCCACTCTGACCTGATAGCTTCAGGGAACCTACCTGTGCAAGTCCCATGTGCAGCATTTTCTGGAACTGCCTGTGACTTCACTAGAGAAGGGATTCCAGCCTTCGCAGATCTGAGCCTGCACCACCATGTCAGCTTTCATTTTTTTAGCTTGTTTAGAAATCACATGCCTCTGTTTCCCTGCTTTTGCATTCCAAGTGTACTTTTTGAGTCTAGTTAATTTTTTAAGTCACATTCACCCTGAACCCAGGATTCTCCCTTTCTGAGGCTCATGAACTCCTTATTACACACAGGTAAGGGAGGCTTCATTTATCTGCTGGTTTGCATTATAATGAAATCTTTTAGAGACAGATGTGTCAATTAGATGCAGATCAAGTCTAAAAGCTACTTCCCATCTCATGGGAAGCAAAAACCTAAAATCCCACCAAGAAGGTTCAAAGAGAATGCAGAATTCAGGTATCCTTCAGGGCAGTTGCTCCCACAGAGGCACTGCACTGTTCTTCTAACAGAGGAGAGTCTGCGCAGCATAGGAGTGAAGAGTCATAGCCTTGTGTCCATCTGTTCCTCTACCATATACCTTGAGACAGCTACTCAAGCCCATCCAAACTTTGTTAAAGTTGCAAATATGATAGGATACCAAGTGCTCTGCCCCTGCCCTGTCCCTCAGGTGTTTTTGTCACCCCATACTCACCCAGGACAACAGCCTGAAGAAGGCAGCTTCCTCTGTCTAAGTGTTTACCCACTTTAACAATGCCTGAACAGGGTTTTGTTCCCTGACTAACTTGCAGGGATATAGTACAGATAATCTCATGTATTATTATGCAAAAGTCCCCAGGAAATCTCAATGCAGTACTGCTAAAGTCCATTGTGACTCATTGACCATTCCATTCTGCACCAAAGGAGTTCCTGTCCTCAGGTCACAGTGGACCAGATCTCTTGCTCTGTTTCAACAACTGAATTTGAAAATGCAGATGGCAGCATTTTTGGTCATTTGCCACTCAGGTCATGACAGGTTACTATTTGCCCTAGGCAAGCAGTTAATTGGTAATTTGGAAGTCTGAAAGAAATGAGCATTGTCATTTTTAATTTTCAATCTATCTCCAATTGGAAAACAACAAAAGCAGCAGAGCCACCACAGTTAGCAACTGCTGCTGAAGCATGCTGGAAATTGTAGGACCATTCACCCTTAAAGTCTCAGTTATTTCAGCAAGGGGTCCCACTGAAATTAGTGAGACTTAAAATTGTTTAGCACTGGCTAGGTCATACCCTAATAAGTTGGTTTAACAGCCAGTTAAACACTGGGTTGAAAGAGGGTCATACTGGGTATCTGCCAGGGACAATGGCTATATATTTTTTTTGCAATTTTAAGTCTATTCACAAAGGATAGACTTATCTAACTCAAGTTAGATAACGTTCAAAAGAGTGGCTGGGATCCAAAGAACTATTCTGGGAGCTGGTTTAGACGAAATCTTCAACATACTCAGCAGAAACATAACCCTTTTCTTTGACAGATAGGCAGGGACACTCACAAGCAATGCTATATTACAAAGTGTTTTGAAATTGAAATTCCCTTCAGATTCAAGAGAGGTTGAACGTTCATCCACATGACCAAAATAACTCCAGATCTCCTGTAGATATGCACAACTAATTGTGTGAGTCTTTAGAATCAGGCCATTAATCAGTTCATGGGTGGGGAAGAGGGGATGTATACAGCCAGCAGTTAGGGGATGAAGGAAAGAACAGTTTATAGTATGAATGACCAGAACTACTTGTAGCATCTCCCAAACTTTCAAGCAGTTTTGTAGAATCCCTGCCTTATCCACTATTGGAAGAGCTAGCTTCCCTTTCTAGATAGAACGATATTCTGATTTTTCTTGTCTGTGTGACTGCCTTCCCTTTTCATGTACACTCTTTTTAAAAAGAGGAAGCATAATGAAAATGTTCACCTTAAATTTAGTTCACAAAGGACCCCTAATTTCCCATTGTGTGTGACTGAGTGAAAAATTACTTGGAGCGGTAGACCCCAAAGAGGTCCTATGGATGCTGCTGGCTATGTGAGGGAGCCTGAATACTTGAAGTTCATGGAATTGTGCCACATATTTGAACTAATGTCTGTTTAAAAAAGTAACAGCACTCTGGCAGCTATAAAACCAACAAAAATTTCAAGAGGGAGAAAGCAAATGCGCAGCAACAAGGAGTAAAGGAAATTCTCTCAGACTGGCCAGGCAAGAATTAGGTGATATCTCACGCCAATCAAATACTGAGCTTGAGGGACTGCTCAGTGTCTAACTACCACCAACTGTTTGGGGGCAGGAAAGGGGAGCAGAAAGAAAGGCAAGGAGAAAAAGGGAAGCTAAGCCTCATCCACCTTCCTCACGCTCTCAATCTGTGATTAAATAACAGTAATGATGGGCTAGCAGAATGCCTAATGGAGATGGGCACTGCACTTCTAGCCTGCATATCTCAGCTCGCCTGGGTCCCATTTTATGTCTATCTGATGATTGATAGAACGTGGCTTCGAGGAAGACGAGAGCCCTGAGTAGGTTTTGCTCTGTTTTTTGGAAGGAAGGAAGGAAGGAAGGAAGGAAGGAAGGAAGGAAGGAAGGAAGGAAGGAAGGAAGGAAGGAAAAAAGCCCCCAGGCTAGCGAGGCGTTCTCGACAACGCCCTGCTGCATCTTCGTAGTCTTTCAGGTGGTCCCAAAGGCGCCCCTTAAAGGGTGTTTCCGCTTTCATGATAAGCGCACACCCCCTTTGATCACTGCAGCTGGTGGCGGTTTAGAAATACTGGAAAACAACTAACGCTCGAACCCGGCGATCGACTTCTCAGGAAAAGGGAGCTTCTCTCTTTCCCCGCCAGACCAGTGCAAGGCGCTGGGATGCAAGAGAGCCGCTCCCGCTGGGGAGCTCCCGGGCAGATGCGGCGAGGCGAAGCAGGTACACGGCGCGGGCGCGCGGAGCGTCCGCCTCGCGTCCGCTCCAGGGGGGATCTGAGCGCGAGAGGCCGGCGCCGCGGAGAGCCCGAACCACCGGCCGTCCGGACAAACGCTCCCCGCGTTCCAGAAGCGAGCAACTCACCGGTTTCGACCGTTGGCGCCGGCGACCGTTGGCGCCGCCGGCTCGGCTGCGGAGTTCCCGCGGGTCACACATTGGCGACAGCCGGGGCGAACAATATAATACCAACACGGGGGTAGCCGCGGCTTCTCCGCTTCTTGCCCTACCCCGGCCGAGCCGGAAGCATAATCTAAACCGAGCCGAGGAGCGCGAGTCTGCTTCCGGGTGAAGTGGGAAACGGGTTGAAACAAGGCAACAAGCGGCCTCAACGCGTTGCTGCTCTCGGCCCGTTTCAAGGCCGGGGCGGGGCGGGAAGCAATGCGACACGGCCCTTTCGCTTCGCTGAAGTCACAGCGCTTCCCCGTTGATATCACAAGTGAACGCACACTCAGCTCTTACCTTGAACCTTCCCCTACCCGGAGTCCCCCGGATGCGTTGCTCTACATCTCCCAGCCTCCTGCGCTGTAGTCCAGTATCTGGGGGACTGCAGGTCGGGGAAAGAGGACAGATAAAAGGATAAATCGCGGAACGACTCCGTCCCACCTAGCCCCGGCAGGGTCGTCCGCATCCGTCTTTCACGCTCTTATGAATGCCCCCCACCCCGTTCAGTCATCCGCGATTTGCAACGTTGTGGGTTGCCTTTCTCGCACCCCAAGGGGAGGAAAGCAACGACTCCCTTAGAACGTGATGTACAGAACAATAGCTACAACTTTTGTTGGTTAAATCCTGCGATCATTGACACATAGCTAGAGAAAAGCCCTCTTTTCTAGAAATCAGCACGTGTGCATCCTTGAAATGTAGGTGACACTGACCAGGCACCATTCCAGAGGGCCGGTTGACTCTTGACAGATAAAAGCAGCACAATTTCCACCAACCCACCCCATCCTCCTCTCCTTCCCAGTAAGAGAGAAAGTTCACGCCATTGTAACTTTTAACTTCTGTAGCCTATTTGGAAAGTGTTAAATGTGCTACTTGTAACCATTTAATGATCGATGTATAAAATGAGGACTGCTCAGGTGCGCCATCTAGAACGATTCGTTGGCAGCCGGTTATTCTTGAGAATAAATCTTTTAAAAGAAATCTTTCTTCTATTGTCTAATTTGGACGTAAGCGCACAAGGACACGGGCCATTTGGTCAACAAAACGGTGCCGAGATGGCGATATTTTTGGAGCTGCGAAGGAGACCTGAAAACTGGGAGAAAACATGGGGCGGGGGGGGGGGGCAAGGCCGTCTTATGCGTTATCTACTGCCAAAGAATCTCCTGAGTTCAAAAGGACTCGCTCCCACTTTACTGTGCATATAGGACTGCAGCCTATTGGGCAGTATCCAGCATTAGTCCTACTTCGTAGACCCATTGAAGTGAAAGGGGGTTGAATTGTGCAAACAGTGGATACAAAGCTTAGCTGTAATCCTTTGAAAACATTTCTGCGAAAAAGCTCTGCAGCCTTGCAGCGATCTGCTCGGTTTGTACCTGCTATTCAGTGAAGGAACGTTTCAGCCTTCTCCAAGGTGAGACCTTGCCGATGTGTCGCCCTACTCATTGGCAAGGCACCATGGCAGAGAAAGCCGAAACACCCTAAACCCGCTGCCCAATCCTACGCCCGTTTGCTGGGAAGTCCCACTGCGTTCAATGGGCCGCATCTTAAATACAGCTCTATAGAGAGCCAAAACTTAGACGCGGTTTCTTGGGAGCAAGCTCCACAGAATATCTACGACCGGCTTCCAAAAAAACAAAAAAACAAACCCACCAGATCTATGCTGAGAAAGTTGGTAAGAGAACTTATTTTGTTCCCTTAACAAAGATGGCTCCAGCCTCTACAAGCGTCTGCCCTCCCTTTCCTGTGGAGCTGTTCACGTCACGTCATTTCTGGAGACTCCCGTTGAGGCTGTAACTAGGAGAAATACAAAGAGGGATGGCGCCCGTGAACCGGAGGACTCTGGAGTGGATCTACTCGCTGGTAAGGGGACGCTTTCCTACTTCTTAGGGCCTCATTCATTGGCATCGGGGAGCGGATATATTCCTGGACTCACAGCAATATCTCATAGCAACAACCTCGATAGATGCCGATTCACAAAGCTATTCTATTATGTATCTCCAATAACCAGTTAAGTCCTATTGACTTCACTGGGACTTACTCCCAGGTAGATGACTATATGGTTGCAGCAAGATGGTTACAGTGCACTGCTGTGCATGTTTTCCTGGGAAGCAAGCTCCCTTTTGTTCCAAGTAAGCATGCGTAGGCTGCAATCCTAAATACAGCTTCCCGGGGAAGCTTGAAAGACTGGAGCAAAAGCATGAAAGGGACAGCCATCATCTGTTTTAAAGCGAATTATTCCCAGTGGTGGCTGGTGGAGCAAGAGCACGGCAGACACTCAATATTTCTATTGAGATGGTTGGAGGACAAGTTCATGTGTGGGACTTAGAAGCTGCACAAGATGCATTGGAAAAAAATGCTTCTTGATGTGGGGCAATTTCTCCACCTTACAGTGTAGTCCCAACTAGGGTTGGGAATGAGTGTAATGGGACATCTACAGCTTCATCCCAAGCCCCACCCAACTCACACAGGACAGGACAGGACAGGACAGGACAGGACAGGACAGGACAGTGGGTGGGAAGCAGCTCTGCTGGACTGTCCAGCCCGACAAAGGATTTTAGTTTTCATTCTCCCTCTTCCCTTCAACCACATTGAAAGCAGTGGGAGGAATTGGCTACACAAGTTCCAGGCTGGCGTACCTGAGTTACTCAATTCAGGACCCTCTTGAGGGAACCCCGAAGCAGTTGACTCCGATTCTTCCATACTGCTGGCAGTAGCTTTCTCATGGCAGAACTGGGCTGCCCAAGGGGACCTCTCCCCCATTCTACCTCACCTGCAACTGGCACATTGGAGTGTGATAGGTAAAGCTAAGGTTATTCTGACTGCTGTCATGATTTCCAGAATAAATACTACCTTGTGTGAATTTTCAGCACTCTTAAAATATTGCAATTCTCAGAACTCCTAGGATGAAGCCATTTTATTCTGCTTAGAGACGGACTTTACATGTCAAATATAAAGGTATATGAAATGCCATTTTGTGATGCCTTCCTTTAACAGATTCTACTCACCACTGTATTGCTTTCATGGGGATATGTCATTTATGCAGCACGTATAGCAGCCAAATGGAAGCTGAAAGAAGACTATCCCACAGAAACACAGAACCTTTGAGACAGACCAAACCAAAAAGCTATCCATATCTGCACAGAAGTGTGAACACATTCAAGTTTGTTCCAGTCACAGGAATAGCCAGTTTTTTTAAAAAAATCAGTAACTCCAGATTCACAGAGCCATGATTGTAAACACTGAATTGTCAGAAAATACAAATGGGCGGAACAACACAAGAATTTGAAAAGTCTCAGCCCTGTCAATGAAGCTGAGAGGAGTACTTCAAATAAACTTTGGCTGCAAAGAAAGCTTCCAAATGTTTGCATCTCTTTGACATCATTGATTATATTCATAAAAGTTCAGAAGAATGAGGTCTGAGGTTAGCATTTTTAAAAAGCTACTAAAAAATCTCTACCAGTCCTGTGCATCTAGAACTGTGGGTAAAGTGAGTCATATGGAGAAATCACTCATTAATCCCATGTGTAAAAAGAATTGTGCAGGTTTTTTTTACTGTTAAAGCAATAAACTACTAATTGAACTATGCTTCAATGTTGAATGTATTGCAAGAAAGTGGGATTCACACATAAAGTGCTTGACAGTACAGAAACAAGAGTGTTTGGGTACCTGGAAGTGTATTCTATTAACATTTTAGCTATTACTTACATGGCTAGATCATTAATCCACTGAGAGACTGAAGTTGATTAGTGATTAAATGAAACTAGAATTTGATTTTGTCTCTTTGTAAACTTTCTTGATATTATGACACTGCAATTTCAAACATTTTTATATTCATAAATAGGTGGGTTGGTATCCAATTTATGTTGTTTATAATAATTTACATTAGCTGAAATCAGCTAATTTTTACTGAGCATTATGCCTGCCATTCTTGTAAAATGAAAGGCTAGCCACATGTTTATGACTTGGAACTACATTGGGAAAGTACGTTTGCCGTTCCTTCCATCTGACTGGAGCGAGTGGTTAAGCTAGTAAGCTGGAATGACTTTGAATTCAATCTAAGCATTAATACTAGTTGCTTGGCAATTATCCATTATTATGTAACAGGTGTGTTTTATTAGTGCTCTGAACAGAAAATCCTTCAAGACTATAACATATGCTGAGTTCAATAAAAGAAAGTCATAATAGTGAGCCTAATAACTTTTATTATTAGAATATTTTGAACTCTATGATAATTTTACAGGAAGCAAGACAGATGTCCACAGCTTTCTGAGCTCTTCAGCCTCTTAATGATGACTGCTTGGTATTTCCAAGGGGGGAATTACTTCACCTGTCTCCAGTATTGTGTCACCCTAAGATAAGAATTAAAGAAATTGTAAATGTAGTGACAACACAATTATTTTAAGATACCAAATTAAGTGCACTTATCCTTCTTACAAGGCAAGATTCTCTACTAAGTTATGCTACTATTCATGTACAGTTCATTTTGGAGATGTTTTACTGTCTCTTAGGAAATCAGATTCTTTAATTCCATGCTTTACACACTGTATTAACTCTGTGGTACCATAAAAAGAAATCGGGAATAAGTGCTGACTTCAAAGCTGTCATTTACAACAGGAATTCAGTACTGCTCTAGAAGAAAAAAATGGCTGTCATACTTAGTTTGTTAATGTTCGGGTCCCACTGGAACCATGAAACAACATGCCCAGTATTTTCAAGGAATCCATGCACCTATTTAAGTGAGCTCTCTGATTGAATAGGCACCATGGATCGTCTGTTTGTCCTATATATAATGCTCAAAGTTGCTTTATTTCTGTACAAAATCAACTGTTACAAGGAAGAAAAATGAATTTGACTCACTGGAAATAGCTTGGGCTTGGACATCACAACTCCATATGGCCTATTCTGTGAACAAAAGCAATAAAACAAAATCCTGAGGGAACTGGTAATCTTCAACCCCTTTTCAGTTTTCATTATATCTTTCATTTTCCCTCTCAATATTGTCTTCATTCACTTGTCATCCTCAACGATTTCACTACACTTCCCCTCTCTAAAAAGATCCACAGCTCAAACCAAACCAAACCAAACCACTCCCAACAGAATGCTTCATTTCCACAAGCAGGAAGAAGCAATTACTTGATTTTTGGCATTATAATTTTGCTTCTGGAAAGCATCTGTCCATTTCGTATTTAAAAGAACAGAAACATTTTCCATGTAAACTGTTCTAACACACAATTCTCTAGGCGAAGCAGTGAGCTATGTGCATAAGCACCTATTCAGCATGTTACCGGTGCTGTCAGACTTGGCAATTCTAGAAATGGGAGATGCTGGAGAAAGAGAAATGCGTAGCACTTAGCCTGCCAAACTGTCAAGCTTGTGATGCTAAAATTTTAATTGCATTCAGGGAAACCTACAAAACTATTTGCTTTTAACCTGAGACCCTTTCTGCATACCCATGACCCAATCTAGAAACAGTTAAATCCACAGTATTGATTAAAGGAGCACTTGAGAATACATAATGTGAATAGTGTATTATGGCTGAAATTCTAGTTCATAGGAAAGCAAACTAGATAAGAGTGTGAGGTGAATGCTCCTTTTCGCATCATGGTATGCCTCCTAACAGAAGAGGGGAGATCAGCCTAGGTACCTCTGAAATGATACAAAGGCCTTCTGGATAACCTCTCATGACCTAAAAGGAGGGACACTTGCTGCTGGATTGAAAACAGTGCACATTTGTCTTCCAAATTCCACTGTCACCTGGCAAATTATTCATGCAAAATATGCTATTACATAAATGGTGAGCAAGCCACCAGTCAGGAAATGCCATCATGGCAAAGGTCTCAGCTTCATCAGAAAGGCCTCTAGAGTAATTTTTCATGTATCAAAAGGCCAGGGCATTTTTCAGCTCTTTGGCCATCAAGTAATGAGAGTCTGACTCTTCACCATGATGCTGGATGAAGAGGGGCGATGGGCAGGGACTGCCTTCTCCTAGGCTTAACTTGGCCATCCTTTTCTATATTGCAAGATAAAATTTCAACAAAATGCATATGCAGAACAAAGAAGATACTAACCAAAAACAATATAAATATGCTGTCCATTTTTATATACATATATTGATAGGTTCCCAAGTTTTCAAAGTATTATAAAAGTTGTTGCATACCATGGTATACCATACATACCAATAAATGATATTTGACGTAATAGTGGATAACCCAAGCAGGAATAAGTATCCGAAACACAAAATTTTTTCCAAAGTTGTAGCTTTTGAATACCTAAGAATAAGTATTTTTAATGAGATCTCTAAAACGTAAGACTATACATACACACCACTTTTACTAACACAATCTTGTTGCATTTTAATTAAAATTATTTTTTATGAATTCAGTAGCAGAATTTGGGCCTGTTTGAACAAGATGAAAACCCTCAGTTTATTGTAATAGGAGCATTCCACAGCAAGCTTTGGACTCACCTATGCCTCCTTCCTGCTGGTTTCTGATTAACTGTTTTTTTTAGCATTATGGATAAATATTAAGCTGTGATTAATTTTAACTATAGCTTGTTGAATCAAGTCAGATTTGTAACACATGTTCTGAAGTTGGTTTGTTTCAAAGAAACCACACTTCAAGTTAATTGTTTGTCTAATTCCAATAAAATTTGAACCAGCTTTCTGTCTTTTGTAAACTCAACATCAGGACTACTTTTCTCCAGATTAATCAAGCCCATGAGTAGACCAAGCTTACTTCTTTGGCTCTGTAAGAGTACCCTAAAATACATAAGCAAAGAAGAATTGTAAAGTGACTTGAACATGTAAAGATTATAGAAAACATGAAAAATAATAGTTTAATATTTCAAATGTAATAAGATTTGGTTGTCCCAATACTATTATTATTCTTTGTGAATGGAGCATGTGTCACAAAGGGGTTAAATCAAACCCTAGGCAGGAGAACAACCAAATGTCTCTAATAAAAACTTATTTACAAGGTACAAGAATTCCAGTTGTCCAGGTTCCAAAGAGTAAATTGCATCTTTGGCTTATCAGAATACAGTGGTACCTCGGGTCACGAACGCCTTGGTTCACGAACAAACTGGGTCACAAACAAAAATTTCTGAAAAATTTTGACTTGGGTCGCAAACACCGCTTTGGGTGGCGACCAAGACTGCAGCCATCTCCCCCCCCCCCCCC